GAGAGCTCTACAGAACTGAAGGTTGCTAGCCAAGTATACAAAAAGAGGCCACGACAGAAAGAAGCCACATCAGCATAACCGAAAAGCAAGTTGAACAATTTGTTGTAACAGAACAAAAACTTGTGTGCAGTCTGTTGTAACAATTAGAATGTAAACAGAATAAATAAAATTAAGAAGGGAGGAGGCATTGAAGGAATTTTTAGAACAAACCTCTCTCTTACTGTGGAGGTTGGCTCCCTCGAAGAAGCCCTGAGTTAGGCAGGTTCCTAACAGTTGTTTGGCAGGATTGAATTTGCAAGAGGAGGAAACCTTTAGAATAGCAGAGTTCTTAGGGTGTGAAGTCAAAAATTGGCCTTTGGAGTACGGAGTGCCTTGGACTGCCTTTGGGTTGTAACCCTAGATCTGAGAGTTTCTGGAAGCCTGTGCTAGAGTGAAATGTTAAAAGATTGACACTTTAGAAAAGAAGCTACATTTCTTTGGGTGGAAGTCAAAGCCACCTTAGCTAATCTTCCCATATATTATTTGTCCACCTTCCATATCCCTGCAAAAATTGTTGGGCAACTAGAAAAGTTATTGAGGGGCTTCTTGTGGGAACCAGGGGATGGGAAGAAAGACAACTGGTGAAATGGGAACAAATTAGTAAACCAAAGGGTGGGCTAGGTATAGGAAATGTAACCCAAAAGAATTTAGCCCTTTAGGAAAATAGCTGTGGAGGTTTCCTTTGGAAAGTGATAGGCTTTGGCACAAAGTAATTGTAAGTATACATGGTCGGATGCACAATGGCTGGGATGCAAAGGTAACCTCCAATGCAACTTCATTTTCCCCTAGAAATCAATTTATGAGGTATATCTTTCTTTTGTGAATCTCATCCGGTATGATGTGGGAAATGGTTTGAGAGTCTTGTTTTGAGAGGACCTTTGGATAGGTGCACAACGATTAAAGGTCCAATCATGCACTTTCCTGCTATAAATTTGAACCCATCTCTAGGTTTGTGAACTTCTCTGCGTCGAGCATAAATTGGGATCTTGGATTTTGAAGGGGCATTAGGGAAACAGAATGTGAATCTCTCCTTCTTTGTTTGGCCAGTCTTGACTTTTTTTTTGGCTCAAAATGTAGAGGACACCAGGGTTTGGTCCACTATCTCAGTTGGTCTTTTGACTTATGCTTCTTTTTTCAACTTCTTAGTTCAGCCTTCAACCTTGGGGGTAAATTTACCGGTGAAAGAAATTTGAAGTATATCAATCCCTCCTAAAATTCAGGCACTTTGTTGGGAAGTTTTCCTTGGAAAGATCAACACTTGTGGTATTTTGCAAAAAAGGCCAAATAAGTGCCTATCCCTTCACATGTGCTTTCTGTGCAAAAACAATGGTGAAACCATCTCCCATATTTTTTTTATCCTATCCTTTTATACTTTGTATTTGCCAATTTGGGAGCATCTTTGTTCTCTCTTTGGGTGAAGACCTTGGAGGATTTCCAAGGTTTCTCAACAAATGACATTTTGAGAACTTGGAAGTAAGTGACATTATCGACTCAAGCAAAGGAAAGTGTAAATATGGAATGGAGACCCAGCAAACAACTTTGTTAAACTTGATTTTGATGGGAGTTACATTGGTAGTCAGGCTGCAGCTGGAATGGGAGGGGTGTTTTGAGACATAGAAGAAAAGGTGTTACTACTGTTTTCAGGACTATTAGCTGATGGTAATGCATTGATAGTAGAGCTGTGTGGATATCTCCATGGTTTAAAATTTACTAAGCAATTCAGTTTCCACAACTTGGAGGTGGAAGGGGACTCAGGTGGTCATATGTATCTCTCAAATTCCATTGGTCTATAGACATACTTTTCGGGAAATAGAAAGCATATCAAGGCAAGGTTCAAAGTATTGATATGTATTGGGCCGTATCAGCCGATACGTATCATATCAGGGGCTTCCCGATACACACCTACAGGGGGTGTTTTGGGGTCTTGACTGGTTCAGAGGGTGGACAGACCTTAAACCGGTCCCTCTGAACCAGATTTAAAAAATAAAAAATAAAAAAGCTATCGATACTGCCTGATACGCCACTACCGGTGGAAAAGCCCACACATTTGTAATACTTGAACTTGTTTAATAAAATCTCTTTTCACTGATAAAAAAAATATTGAGAGTTAGAGTAAGTGATACATCCTACCACCTAAGATTTCCCAGATTATCAATGCACCCGCTGTCCATTCAAATACCCTAATTTCCTATGTTCACCTATATTACATGGATTCTGGTAGCAGTGTCAAAATTGGAAGAAGATATGAGTTGTTGGATTCAGCATGCCTGAAAAACTAAGTTTTGAGATCTCTATGGGCATCATGTATATTTATAACTGATTATACTAAATTCACAATTCCTTCAAAGTTATGAAGATTTGACAAAAGAGAAGATGGAAAAGTCCTCTGAAGTGTCTTTCAGTGTCAGTATCCATGTGTTATAGATGGATACAAGACCTATATTAAAGTGTCCATGTAATGTAGCTGTTTATACATGGCCTCTAAGCCTTGAACCTTAATTTTAGTAGGGCTCAACATAGCTTTCATCAGCTATGCCTGGCATATGTCTAAACCTAATGTGAGGTGCATAGGTTCAACTCATCAAGGATTTGCCAGGCATAGTCTGTGACTTGGCCTAGCTAACCACAGCTTGAGTGTCCTTTTGTCTAAAAGCTACCTTCTATTTGGTGCCAGGTGCCCTAATAAGTCCTTTGGCAACAAAGTGGCACCCTATTCCCTGGCCTTGCCTTGTCATCCTTTTAACTATGAAATTAACTTATGAGTTAAATATTGAAACACAAATGAATCATGCAGATTTAAGGTCTATCTATGAGTGTAGAGAATCCATACTCTCTATTGCTTGACTGGCACAACAACCTGGAAACACACTTCTGCCTTGTTTAAAAATGGATGTTTACATGCATAAAATATTGATAACAATTTCTGATCTGAGTTGATTAATCTTGCAGACTTGAAAATTTGGAGCTGATGTCAAAGCATGGTGCTGATGTGTGGAAACTTTACAACCAACAGTTGGAGGCATTCTTGTCCAGGTTTGTCTCGGATACTATGAAAATTCAACTTTTCTGGCATCATGAAGAAACTCTGCTTCCTATTTTTGGATATCTGTTTCAAAATGGATCACATTAGCTGTTTTGATCTAATGTTCAAAGTGTTTCTATACTTTTGTTTAATTTTCTATTAGATTATCATTCTTTCCCTAGGTCCGGTCCTTTAGCGATTTAGACAGATATTCTCTAATTACTGAGAAAAATTGGCAATAACTAAATAGAAACATGGGACTGATTTGGTCACATCCTTAGTGAAGATACAAAATAAACCTCCATTTGTATTTATGAAGTTTAATGCATAGAGTACTTTTTACCTTTAAACATTGTAGTTTTTGGCCTCTTGTTTGGGGTATGTGATGTAGCACAGGTGAGAGCCCTTTATGGGGTTTTGATAATAGAGGTTAGCAGAGTTGTTTCAAGACTTAAACATAACTGGGGGAAGGTCAGACTGGATACCCATGATTCTGAATTAGGATTTTGGCAACAACAAGAGTAGAAGGATATTAGATAGAGAAGGGAGAGAATGTCTTTCTGCATAGGAAATAGAAAGAGGAAAACAGAGACGGAGGGAGATAAGTACCATTTGTAAGACGGTGGGTTTATATAAATACATTAACATGGCTGACCCAGAAAAAACCTGAGTCAGACCGGGCTGGTTCAGGCCAATTATCCACTTAAAGCAAAGTTATTTTACAAACAATTCAAGAGCTTCAGCTTTCTAGAATGATAACATTTAAGAACCTTCCAGAATAGCAATTAAAGGCATGTGCATGAATTAAGTATAAGAGCAACCTTTGGAGGTAAAAAGAAGAGTTCAGGAGGGAGAAGTCTGAGGATGATAAGGAAAGGGTTTTGGAGGTGGAGGCAACCTTTGCAGAGTTTAGAGCATTAGGTGAAAACATCTAGTAAGACTTTTGAGTGCAAAAAAAGGGGCTCACTTTGAAGGGGGGTGTCACGTTCTCGCCACAAGAAGAGAATATTCTGGCAGTTAACCCCTGAACAACCTATCTGATTTCAATCAGAACTCTGTCTATTCGGTTACGATTCTTGATGACGTGTCTGTCAGTTGTAACCACCTTATGTTATAAATAAGCAGAGACGTAATGAAAAAGGATATCTTGAATCCAAATTATTACAGAGTCTACGATTACTTGGCTTGTTGGCATTTTCCCCTTCGAGCGGTGACAAACACCATAGCTTGGGGAAACCCCAGCCTCTCTTCTTGGCAACGAGAAGAGGTCCATAACATACTGGTATCAGAGTGGGAGATCCTTCGGGAAGCTCAGATGTTGAGTGTGGAGGAGAGACTCGGTGGGCTGGAGCACTTGCAGGAGACTCTTAAGAAAACTCAAGAGGCCATCCTGCATCAGCTGGCGGAGATAACAGAGAGGTTGAATCGGTTCACTCACCGGATTGAGTCACAGGAAGGTTTGAATGGGAGGGCTAACGAAGACATGGCCCCTGGGGGAGACAGAGGACCTAGGCGCAGCGGTGAAGGGACATCGCAGACAGGAAATGGGTTTGGCCACCAGACCAGATTTTGGAAGGTGGACCTTCCCAAATTCAATGGGACGGGGCTGGAAGGTTGGTTGTTGTTGGTTGGACAATACTTGGAGATTCAGGAGGTACCAGAGGAACTTTGGGGGGCAGTGGCTAGCTTGGGCTTCGAAGGGCGAGTGGTGGAGTGGTATAGCTGGTTTCGTGAGTATCAACCCAATCCCACATGGTCTTAGTTAACAGCGGCAATGGAAGCTCGATTCATTGGACCACAAGGATGTAACTATGCAGGTAGGTTGTCCAAGTTACAACAAACGACAACTGTGCAGGAGTATATGGAGGATTTTCAGAGGTTATCGAGTAGAGTGAAAGGCTTATCAGAAGAATACCTCATTGGATGCTTTGTCTCCGGTTTGAAGGTAGAGATCCGAGCTGGAGTACAAAAGCTGGAGCCTCGGACCTTGGCCAGAGCCTTCCGCCTCGCCTTACTTGAAGAAGAAGAATGGAATGCTCGAAAGAAAGCGGTTCGGGTTGAACTACCCCGTAGCAGACCCCCTCTTGCTCCAAATAATCCTCCGCTGAAGCTGCCAAGTACCATTGGGAGGATGAATCCACCAGACATAAAACGGCTGACACCGGAAGAAGCCAAGGAACAGAGAGACAAGGGCCTTTGTTTTAATTGCGATGAGCGTTTTGTTCCTGGTCATCGTTGAAAGAAGCAAAAACTGTTTTGGATTGTGACAGAAACAGAGGAGGAACAGGAAGAACCGGAAATTGAACCAGAGCCGGAGGCTGAGATTTCTCTGCATGCTATGAAGGGATTAGTGATGCCCCAAACTATGCGAATTCAAGGTACTCTAGAAACCCATCCTGTGGTCTTACTTATTGACAGTGGGTCTACACAACTTCCATGATCCCAAGTTGGCAGAGTGAGCTTGGGTACCTCTATCGGCCAACTCAGTTTTTGCGGTGACCGTGGCTAATGGCGAGAAGTTACATGGTACTGGCCGTTGTGATGGAGTTCAGATCCGAACTCAAGGAACAACTCTGAAGGCAGATTTTTATCTCTTGACTGTACTCGGGTATGATGTGGTTTTGGGCACGTAGTGGTTGCGGACACTGGGTGACGTCACTTGGAACTTCTCCTCCATGACTCTCAGTTTCCAAGACGAGCAGGGACTCCACCGGCTGTAGGGGTTAAGAAAGGAGACCATGATGATAAGTGGAGAGAAGGCGCAATGACAAATTTCTAAGGCCAGCCATATTCTTGCTCTAGATACTCAAGGAGGCTGATATGGAGGATAATCCACAGTTTGACCAGGTGTTCAGACAGTTACTACAGGAGTACTCCGATGTCTTCTCAGATCTGCCAGGTCTTCCCTTGCGGAGACTATGTGATCATGCCATACCACTCATAGAAGGAGCTGGGCCGGTATGTCAGAGGCCATGTAGGTATCCCTATTATCAAAAAGGAGAAATAGAAAAGCTGGTCCTAGAATTATTGGAGCGTGGTGCCATACGTCCAAGTAATAGCTCGTATGCCTCCCCGGTGTTGTTGGTAAAAAAGGACGGGGGTTGGAGAATGTGTGTAGATTATCGGAGGTTAAACCAGGTGACCGTGAAAGACAAATACCCGATGCCCATTATAGACGAGCTGTTGGACAAGCTTCATGGCTCTCGGATCTTTTCAAAGCTGGATCTCCGGTCAGGATATCACCAGATCCGCATACGAGAAGAAGATATTGCCAAGACAGCTTTCCGCACCCATGAAGGTCATTACGAATATTTGGTCATGCCTTTTGGGCTAACCAACGCCCCCTCCACATATCAAGCGTTAATGAACGAAGTGTTTCGGGATCTTCTAAGGAAATTGATGTTAGTTTTCTTGGATGACATCCTTGTTTATAGTAAGACAGAAACGGAGCATTGGAAGCATCTCAGAGAGGTATTGGGAAGGCTCCGGTGCCACAGGTTATATGCGAAACCCAACAAATGTCTTTTTGGGGTAAGGAGATTCAGTTATTTGGGACATATAATTTCTGATATGGGGGTAGAGGTAGATCCCGAGAAGGTGGAGTGCATGCAAGCGTGGTCACGACCTCAGAACATATCAGAGCTTAGAGGGTTCTTAGGTTTGATGGGGTACTACCGTAAATTTATTCAAAATTACGGGAAGTTCGCCAAACCTTTGACAGACTTGCTTAAAAAGGGAGCATGGGGATGGACGGAAGAAGCAGATGGGGCTTTCCAGACCCTGAAAAGAGCAGTCACTACTGCTCCAATGTTAGCCTTGCCCGATTTCTCTCAACCATTCATCTTGGACTGCAACGCCAGTGGAGTCGGAATAGGAGCAGTGTTATCCCAGACGGGAAGGCCCGTTACATTCTTCAGCTAGGCCCTCAGTCCCCGTAATCTGGCGATGTCCACTTATGACAAGGAGTTATTAGCAATTGTGGCCGCGGTTCAGAAGTGGCGCCCCTACCTCTTTGGCCACAAGTTCATTGTTCGTTCTGACCACCAGAGTCTACGATACTTTCTAGAACAGAGAGCAACCATGCCATTCTAGCAGAAATTGTTGAGTAAAATTCTTGGGTATGATTTTGAAATTCAATACCAGAAAGGGAAGGATAACGTGGTCGCAGGTGCCTTGTCACAATGTATCCAAGGTGAGTTGGCAGCTATCTCGGGACCAATTCCGGGTTGGGTAGAGAAGCTACGGGCCGAGGTGGCTATAGACCAACACATGAAGAGGTGGAGAGAACAACTCGAGGGCAGGGAAGACAAGAATATACAGTAGGAGAAGGGTTGATATGGCGGAAAGGAAGGCTGGTGATTGGTCCCAGTTCTCCGCAGTTGTTCGATGAGCTCCACACCGCACCAATTGGAGGTCATGAAGGTTTTCATAAAACTATGCACCGACTCAAACAGGTATGCTACTGGCCAGGGTTCAAGAAGCAGGTTAAGGAATGGATCAAACACTGTGAAAAGTGCCAGAGGAACAAGGGAGAGAACTTACCGGTACCGGGTCTACTTTAGCCATTACCAATACCAGAGCAAGTTTGGACAGAACTCAGTATGGATTTCATTGAAGGCTTGCCACCCTCAGAACGGAAAACTGTAATAATGGTGGTAGTTGACCGTCTTTCTAAGTACAGTCACTTCATGGCTTTACAACACCCCTATACTGCCCAGGATGTAGCTTGGGTATTCATGGAAGAAGTATTTCGACTCCATGGTATGGCCAAAAGTATTGTCAGTGATCAAGACGCGGTATTCACCGGCCTGTTTTGGAGGGAACTTTTCAGGTTACAGGGGACCCAACTTAATCTAAGCTCATCCTATGACCCCCAATCGGATGGGCAGACCGAGATAGTAAACTAGACATTGGAAGCTTATCTAAGGTGCTTCGCTGGAAGACAACCACAGACTTGGGCTCATTGGTTACCACTCGCTGAATGGTGCTACAACACCTCTCTACATACCTC